CATAACGCAAAGCTAGACCAACCAAACTATGAGCTTCCTTATTTCTATCCCTACCAATAAAACTAACTAAAACATAATTAAAGTTAGCAATGAGACAAATGTAGTCCTCAACTGTTGGTTCTAGAGTTGCCACAATGCGACTTTTCTGCATACACTCAGCCACTACTAAGGCATCTATTTGGATAACAAGGCTTCTCCACCTCAGTTCTCTTTCCAGTTCCAGGCACCAATGAATTCCCAGGGCTTATGCTAAACTAGGACCCATTGAGAAAATTTCCCTATTGCATGTTGTAAGGATTTTTCGCCCCTTTCTAAACTTGACAATGTAACCCCATGTCGTATAATAATTCTAAAAACACCCAGCATCAACAGATGCAGCCAAATCAGCTTGCAAATCATTGTCATGAATAGTTTCTTGATGGGCCTTTTCCTTTTCTTGTTGATCTACTTATGCCCAATTGAACTCTCGACCAAACTTGCAGCTCCACAAGAAATCTCTTGAGGGTTCCATTTTTAAAAAATAAAATAAAAATTGGGAAAGGTATTATCTAAGAGGTTTAGTTCAAATTTAAGGCCTATTATTTGGGGACAAGGACAATTTCTTCGGTAAACCATTCAAGGAACTTCATCATTAAGGATGTTGTTAGATTCATGGTTTTATGATTGACATAAATTTGGTTCAAACATGTTTCATAGCATATGTTGAGCAAGATGTCATGACATCTTGACCAATTGGTACAACAGGGTGTGTTGTTACTATTTTTGACAAATGTTGTGACATGTTATACCAGAATATCGAAATAATACAGTTGTTTAAATCCTTGAAGATTTTATTGTTAAATATGATTTATGGTTGATTTTAGTTTTCATACAGATGCATCCAATCAAGGATATATTAGGAACGGTGCATATTTGATTTGGTTTCATAAAAAGGATCTTTGAGACTTTTTAAAAAACTTTGAAGATTTGTTCCTACTTTTGTTGAAGATCTTGCAGCTGATTTAAAATTAGAAGATTTGATTTGATTGAAGAGTCCAAGCCCATTCTGCAAGAGTATAAAAAGGACTTGCTTAACCTAAAATAGCAAGCATTCACAATAAAAAAACAGTGGGTGCATAGTATAAGGGTTTAGGGTTTGAAGAGTACATTAGGTGCTTTGTTTGTTTTTTGTATGTAACTCATGTATCTTCTTATACGTTGAGGTGGATTCATTGTTCATTGTTACTTTCCCATCACTCATGAGCTTTTAAGCAAAGAGTTATTATGTGTCAATTTATTGTTCTCACTCATGAGCTTTTTAGCAAAGAGTTGAGTATTGTTTATTAGAAGTGTAATCTTATGTTTTGGTTCTGGTGACTGGTTTGTGACTAGTTTTATCACTGGGGTGATTGTGGGAAGTGAGAGGGGTCATCATATCTAGGAGGTTCTTAGGTAGAAATTACATAGGATAGTGATTAAATAATAAGTTGTAAACTAGGATTGTTTAGGCTTTGAACTAATACTATTATAGTGAATTTACTTTCTGGCTTGGTATCCCCCAGAGTAGGTGATGTTGCAATCAAATGGGTTAATAATTGATTGTGTATTTTACCTTCTGCAATTTAATTTTGCATAATATCTATTTTGGTAAAATTGTTCTGTCAGCAGATGATGTCTTAACATCTGTCTTGACATTGTGTTTTGGTGTTGGAACATCAATCCTTACATCTGTTTTAAAGTGCCAGAATTATAGATGCAACATCTTAACACGATTTTAATTTCTTAACATTCAAAAATGAATAAAGGAATGGATGGACCAATAGTTGATTTTATTGGCAGGTCCAATGACAATCAACGATGTATGTAGTGGGTTAAAACACCCTAATTCAAGAAGATTGTGTATTGGCTCATTAAGGAATGGCATGACCAGTAGTTGATTTTGAATCAATTCCATCACTACAACAATAGTTTATTGACACAAATTTCATCTCCTTTAGAGTTTCTTACATTTTAAGAAATGAAGTCTTTATCTATTCGTGACAAACAAGTAGGTAGAATTCATTTTGAAATGAGGTCGCAAAAATTTTTTTAACCAGTTTTTTTAATATTTGTAGAGTTTGCATCGAAAGAAAGTTGCTTTAGATAGAAGTTCTCAGGTTCGTGTTTGTGTTGTCCTTTTTCATAATTGGAGTTCAGATCTTTCCAAAAAAAAAATTTGGTTGGGGATTTTATTGTTGGTAGATTCAAGCACATAAAATAAAAGCTAGGCTTTATTTTTCTAATTTGTCTAATGATAATACAAGCATTACATATAGTACAAGTCATGCTAGACAATTCCTACAATGGTTACAATTCTCAATGAGAATTGTCTTAATGGTTTGGTTATCACATTTTATATATACATCTCTGAATTGCAAAGAACACATATAAAATTAGGGTTGTTCGCGGGTCAATTGGTTCAGTTTTGAGAAAATCTGATACCCAAACCGATTAGAATTAGAGAATTTCTTAAAGCACCCTATATATTTTTAGTTCACCGTGCAAAAATATGTAAATGTCTCCAGGAATCAGAAACACATTTCTGATACACATTTTGAACAGACATATTGTTGCCTAGACCATATGAAAAGGTGGGACACAAATCGGAAATATGTATACGGTCTAAACTGTATTTGTATTTCCGATTTCACCTCAAATGCACGCAATATTTAACACTGAGAAAAACAAGATATAACACATATACGAATCAGAAATACATTTACGGTTACAACCGAATGTGTATGTCCGGTTCGTGTTGCCACTTGAACTCGCCATGCCTCTTCCCCTTCTTTATTTCAGAAAGCATTTGAAAAACACAACAAACCCTCTCAAACTCTCTCAAACCCCCATTATGTCAAAGTCATCCCATTTTGCGAAAAGTTCATCAAGAATCATCAAGCATCAGACAAATTTCATTGTTCAAGCAGATTAAAGCAATTTAATAGTGTTTAATCGTAAATATTATACTAGTAATTTTTCCCTAATAGCTTCTAAAATATCTAACAAAAATATATATAACATCAAGGCTTTTTAATCTATAATTAGTCACTTGAGTTAGTATGATAATGAATGTGTTTCATAGTTTTACGCTCATTTACCACAATACACTAACAATTTTCTAATAACAAATTACAATAGAATAACTTGTTCACGTACGACATTTCATATTTTTTCTTCTTGAACTTGAATGATTGGTAGTAATTTTCATGATAATTAATTATGATTGGTTCGGGTTGGGTTTGCGGGTAGAAAATTGAAAATTCAATGTCCGAACTAATTGTCATTGAATTTCATTGGTTTTGTTCGATTCTTGCCCGAGTTGAAAAAATATCCAACGCAAACACTATGGTTTGATTCAGATTTCGATTTAATTCGAATTTACCCAAACTAATGAAGAGCCATATATAAAATTACACAAGCATGCATAGAGCCAAGTGAGCCAAGTTTCATTTACTTTTTGTATTTACTTTCTGTTAGAAATATTTTCACTCATATTTGAGTAATATCCGTATCCTCTTTTTTAAGTAGACATTTCACTCATATTTGAGTAATATCCATATCCTCTTTTTTAAGTAGACATTGATCGCATCTTGATCATCAAACAACTTTGGCGCTTCAGAGAGATCAACATTAGTAGATGAAATACCATTTCTTTTAAGAGTGATTTGGATAAGAGAGGTGTAGAAGAGATGACGGTCAGAGTTAACCTTGCAAATCATGATCTGATAAATTATAGACTAATTTAACTAGTTGATGTTAGTCTTCCAGAGTAAAATCTATATTAGAAACAAGTCGGGATCATTAGTCATTGCGTAGTTTTTCAGCTTTCCCGTAGAAGATTTTCACAACAATATAATGAATCATATGTATTTTATATTTTATCTAATTGATATGAAAATTCACGAATCAAAATATTCTCTAAACAAATTCTTTGAGATCGACTTAGCAAACAAACAACTTAAAAAAGAGTATATATCACGTTCGAAGTCTTAGTTACATAGATATATAATATATAATAAATTTTTAAAACTATATAATATATATTTTAAAAAAATTAGAATTAAATATTGTCTTAGGTAAGCGTAATCAAATAAAAGGTATTTGAAAAGGTTTAAATTTTGGTTAAAAAATAAAAAATACTTTTTGGAGATTTTAAATTTTAGAAACTGAAAAAGTATATAATATTCTTCTTACAAAACGATTTTTGGAGATTTTTTTTATAAACTTTTATAGTTTTGAGATCCTAAATGATATTCATGCATAAACTAGTTAAAATATCTCATCCACCTAGAACGCTTAGATACAAAATACAAGGCACAACTCAGTTGAGCCAAGAGAAACATTCATTTAAAATTCTAATCCCTTTAAAGGCACAACAACATTGAAAATGAAAACAAAAAAGCAATGAGAGTTTGAAACCATGTTAAGTAATACATTTAATAAGCAAAAAAGAAGAATAAAAAGCATAACCATAATAATCCAATGTTGCTGTATAATTTGAGTAGTAGTAGCAGGAGTCTCAAGTAACATTGAAACTGTACTTTGAGAAGGTGTTTGAATAGAACAAGTAATGATAAAAAAGAATAGAGAGCTCAGAGGCATATTATTCATCCAGTGTTTCAGGATTGGTGATGTTACCTAACATCACAATATTATTCATCATAGCTCCTCCAACAGATTTGCACCAGCCGGGAATCGAACCCGGGTCTGTACCGTGGCAGGGTACTATTCTACCACTAGACCACTGGTGCTTGTTGAACTAACATGAAAACAATAGCTTAGACTCATATTCAAGGTGTACACTATTGTCACATAAAAATAAGGTGTATCCTATACTTGCGTAAAGAAACTGGATAAAAAGAACTAATCACACATTTTGCAACAAAACAGTCAAGAATCCAAGAGGAATAAACATTTCGCAAACTTACAACAATTAAACAAAGTTCTTGAGAAATTTGACCTCAGATATTTTTCTGACAAATTTACAAGGAATCGGTTCCTGTCAAAGATGAAATGGGTGATACACACGGAAACCAGTACCGCCGTTTTCCATCTTTGTGGCCATCATCAATCATTGCAAGCCCGTCCTGCATGAGCCAATACAACAGTGGTTTAGTATCCATGCGATTGGAGGTTAGTATTACTAAAGAAGAAGAAAATTAAAAAATAGTATATCTTACATCAAGTAATGTATCAAGTGCATCAATGGCACGACCCGAAGTCCAAGATAGCTGCCGTTCTACTTGATCTACCGTCACAAACCCTTGACCCTGAAATATACAAAGTGTTATGTAAGTGTAAAAAATGTAATCTTTCTGAAATAGCAAAAAAGGTAGTATATTCAACAGATATTTAATGTTACTAGATAGAGTAAGGGTATGTTTGAATTGACTTATTTGAACTTATCTACTACTGATATAAGTGCTTGTGAGATTTATTGAAAGAGATTACGGCAGCAACTTATGACATGTCCATGAGTTGTTTTCAGCTTATTTCCATAGGTTCTCAATTATAGCTTATGAAAACAACTTGTGGCTTATATGAAAACAATTTGACATTATTTTACCCTTTGTCATAGAAATACACTTATATGAAAAGGGTTTATGTTATAAGCACTTAATTAAGTGGTTTATCTAAACATGGCCTAAAGATGAAGTCATTAAGCAACTTCCACTCTCATAAGCTAAAAAGAGAACATCAGCCAAATAGGTTCATGCCATCATCACCATGCAATTACAAGACATGCTCAAGAAAGTTCATAGTCCTGTGACTCTTAAAGAGCGGGAAAATGGAAGGGGCGAGTAACCGCGTGTATATATTAGTATATTTAAAAAATGAGTAATAGTTACCTGGGCAAGTTCTAGAATTTCGTTATGGTCTTTGTTCAGCTCAGTTGGAACAGAACGAACAAGTTTTTTCTTTCCAACAGAAATAACTTCAAACCCGCTGCCTAGAACCTGAAATTTTTGTGACACAATCAGTATGCAACACAACATGGTCAACCACGATGCATGTAACAAAACAAAGATTTTAAACTCACAGAGAAAAGTAATAACTAAAGAGAAATGAAGTAAGGACAAACGCAGATGCTCTTCCAAAATACATGCAAGCAAATACTATTTATTTGCATGACGTTCATCAAAACTAACAGTCACAGTTAGGTTTAAGGACATGGTAAAGCACAAGACCTTCAGTTTACTGATAGCGCGCAGGCAATCATCTTCGGAAACAACTCCTCTGTCACTTTTTCGTCTCTGGCGAAGGAGATTACACAGTTCCTGCAGGTTGATTAATCCACCATTGAGGGGTCTAGTAGCCAAGCAAATGTCCACTATTTGAACTCCTGTCTAGCCAAGTAGCTCATATTAACAAAACATTCTAAGAATAGAGTGAAATTAAACAGCTCATAGTTAATGGATAAAAAACTAAACCATGGATGAATGATTTATTAAACTAAAAGATGAATTGTTTAACAGTTGCAAGTATAGAGTTATAAAGCAATGTGAATGAAACCATAACAAGACAACGTGTTATGCCAATATTTAACATTAGTCGTCGTTAGATTAAACGCATCCCTTGTCTTTCGAGTCTCGACAACCTACCTAACTCCAACTCATTGATTTTTATTCCAAAACCAACGACAATGTTAAATGAGAATTATCACCCTCACCCCATCTATCACTAAGTAAATCTATAATGAGACAAAGAATACTAAAATTTGTAGTCTCTAAACTATTCATAGTTTGAACAACAGAAAACAAGTTTAAAAAGATATTACCAACCAAGTTCATAATAGAAATCACCGATTCCCAACAGCTCAGCCCAAAATCCTTTATTTGAGGCCAAGGGATCTACTCCAACCTTAGCACACATCTCATGAAACTGTGATCTGAATGCAGGGTTCTTGCGGATGTCATTCTGAACCAGTGATAACAACAGTTAATGTTATTTTAATCATTAACTGCAAGAAAAAACTAAAAGTAGGATTGTTATAAAAGAAATATAAAAAAGAATTCATAAGACATGATGAAAGTGAATTGTTAATCAATCATGCCCCTGAACAGAACTCGACTGACATTGAAAAGCTGATAATAACCTCCCAAACATTACAGCAACTCCATCAATCAGCAACCAGCGCCATTTACAGCAAAAAATACATCAAACTCATCCCACTTGCATGTAATGATTACAATCACATTGTTAACAGTTTTATCGATGTGGATGACAGAAAGCCAAAAATCAACCATTTTAACCGCCATTATCAGCCTAAAACACCATGCATGGCCATAAATTTGTGGGAAAATCTGCCATTTTAAGCCACTGCTATCTGCCTAAAACATCATGGCGCCGGCGATCTTCACCAATTAGCCATGGAAGTTGTCGAAAAATCTGCCATTTTAAGCCATTGCTATCCACCTAAGACACCGTGGTGCAACCAACCTTCACCAATTGGCCATGGAATAAACTTTTTTCTAACTTGTCAGAACAACAAAAAAACATCAATTCAATCAACCACAATCTAAAAAAAAAACCTTATGCTTGCGAGCAAAATCTTCAAGCTGAGAACGAAAGGTGGAAAGGTGTTCCTTCATCATGTCAGTTCTGATCTTAGCAACATTCTCACCAAGCAACCGGTATTGATCCCTTGCAGCAGCAGCTGTCTGTAACCCTCCAATTCCAGGCCTCCTTCTCATTTTGCCTTCTGCAAAATCCTTATTACAATTTTCACGGTAATGTTTTAGATTGTAAAAAATCCTTATTACAATTTTAGGGTTTATAAATTGGGAAATTTCACGGTAATGTTTTAGATTGTAAAATTTTTGAAGGAAGGTTTGAATTTGTAGTGAGGAACTTTAACAAAAAAAAATAAGAGGAAAAAATAACGAACAAGTGGATGAAGCGAATCGAAGAAAAAAAAACCATTTTAATAGAGCCTGGCTTCGATCCAGGGACCTGTGGGTTATGGGCCCACCACGCTTCCGCTGCGCCACTCTGATTTGTTGAAGTGATATCAACTCTAAACAACTTTATTCCAAACACTCTGATTTGTTGAAGTGATATCAACTCTAAACAATTTTATTCTAAACTATCTTCTCAGCACCTTCCTCAATTTTTCAAGACTAGACATTAATATATATAACATAAATTTGTTGTTTGTATAAATAGTAAAAAAAGATTAAGTCTTTAAATTGTATTGACTTTTACTTAGGATCTATCGATAACTTTTTCTATTAATTTTTTTAAAATGAGTTTCAATTTTCTTCGCTATTAGAATATGAATCATTAAAAGTGAATTATATTATAATTGATCCGATTAAAAATAGCACTTAATAAAAATAATTGTTTTAAATAATTAGATTTAAAATATCTATGTGATTTAATAAAATACAAGTTACTCTTTGGATGATAGATGAACCTTTTTTATTAATAGAACATCTTTTATTTTCTCTAATTTAATATGTATTGATCTTGAAAAAAATTATTTTGTTCAGTTGCGGAAGTAAAATAGAGTAAGTATTGGTGAATATAGATTATTCCAGTGGATCAGAATTTTTCGTGCGGTGTAGGAAACTGACCTGTAAGATTAACACTTCAACACTAAAGTTATTATGTGAGAGTGATGAATGAATGAAAATTTAATTTTTAAATTGAATGTCATAAATTGTTATAACAACATACTATTTGTTAGGCGTCCAATGTGGGAAGTCGTTAGATGTATCTAGGACTTGGATTACATGTATTCATCTACATGATACTTGTCATATGGTGAGAAGGTTTTATATAACCCGCGTCCCTCTTTGAATAGTTGATTGGGGACCTTTGTGATTGTCCTAAAAAAATTATCTTCAAGCCCTTGTCTCTGCATGGTAGTTCAAGGGTTTGTCATATCTCTCTCGACGACCAACTGTTTTTCTGATGTTCTTTTAAGTCAAGGGGAAGTGTTGTAGTCCTAGGAAGTTGTGCCTTTAATGTGTCTCACACTTCAAATATGTTTTCAACGATACCCTCATAATGAGTATGAAGAACTAGAGTACTTGAGTTTTACATGCAAGTGATTTGGAACTTTGAGGGTCTATTTTCCTTAGCACGCCAACATAAAATTCATGAAAAGACAACTCTCAATTTCTCTTAGTTGTCTTTTCTAGTTTGTTGTTATCTCATTTTCTTTGATATTTCACTTTTTTGCATCTAGAGAGAATAATATCTATCATGAGTCAAAAGTCGAAGGAAGACACGCTTCCACTACGCAACTCTGATTTGTTGAAAAACTTCTTCACTATATTTATATATTCAAAATTATTTTCTCTATTTTAATATTTGTGATATATAGTGTTATTTTTACAAATAATATAAAGAATTATTTTGTTCTTAAATTTTATTGACATGTTGTTATGGATCTATCAGTAACTTTTACTATAGATATTAATTTTGAAGGATTGTTAATTTTATGAAAAAGAGATTCTTTTTCTATAGAAATTAATTTTGAACGATTGTTATTAAAATTTCTTAAGTATTATTGGAATTTTAAAAATAATTCAAATGCATCGTGGGAGTGTCAGGAATCGTTTCGTTGAAAATAACTTATTTGAGAAGCACTTTTGAAAATCTGAAATTTGGAATTTTCGAAGAGGAAATCGATTTCCACAAAGTGGGTAATCGATTTCCACAACTAGGTTTTTCCTGAATTTTCTTTTTCAGTTCAGGAAATCGATTCCCCTGTTTTAAAAAATTGATTTCTAGTGCGATATTTTAAAGTTTTAGCTGTTTTCTTGGGCCTGATTGGTTCTAAATTGTATTTTAGTGATATCCTATATAAACTCTCATGTAATATTTATTTTGTTAACAGTTAATGCCAATAATAAACATTTCTCCTCAACTACTCTCTCTCTCTCTCATAACCTTCAAATTCTCTCTAACTTCATATTTTTCAATTAATCATTTTCACCATTAATTCATCAACCTTTCTTGTGCAGGTTCCAACATTTGGCATCAAGAGCCTAGGCTCTGATCCATTAATCCGTGACAAACATGTCTAAAGTTTCCAATGATTGAATTCCTACAAATCTTCCAACCCTTGACTTGTTGCACCTCACTGTTGGTTCTAGCTTGCCCAAAGCTCCAATGCTCCAATGACCAACATCAAAACCTACAAAATGAGCATAAAACTAAGTAAACAAATTAATTTACAACAAAAACTAGATAATTACTTATTTACATCAATTTACAAACTTAAACACTATTAATTATCAAAATAGAGTACAAAGGACCACAAAATTATCTACAAATATATCAATATTTTGGTCCTTAACAACACTTAGTTCCTCCTATTGACACACTTAAGCCTTCACCAATGTCGTCAATCTTTAAATCTTTTTCCTTAGAAAACTCTTTAGATTTCATCGTCGTTTGGACATCATTCAAAGTAATAGTACTTTTCTTACCATAAACAAGGACATCCTTAAAGTGCTCAAAGGTTTGGGTAATGACTTCAACAAGAGTATAACCTTGTCCTCATCATCAATCTTCACTTTAATATTCTCAAGATCATCAATAATCTTGTGAAATTCTATAAGTTGCTTCACTGTGGATTTATTCTCCACTATTCAGAATAAATAGAGTTGTTATTTCAGACACAACCTATGAGCAAAAGACTTGGTCATATATAATAATTCATGTTTTCCCACATTTCAACCGTAGTTTGCTCCCTTACAACTTCTCTTAGAACTTTATCCCCGAAGCATAAGCTAATGACACTCTTGGCTTTATCCATCATCACAGTCTTTTGTGCTTGTGTAAGTGCAGCAGGCATCAATGCTTCACCCTTCAAAGCATAAATACACTTCCCTTGAATTAAAATTTCTTGCATATTTATTTTCCATAACACGAAATCATTGTCTCCGGAAAATTTTGCGATCTCCCATTTATCCATGGTGCTCACTTGTAAATAATGCTCCTTTTCCCCCATGGTGCGCGTCATTGTTGTGGTAATAACACTTTCAGCACCTTCCCTCAATTTTTCAAGACTAGGCATTAATATATATAACATAAATTTGTGTGTTTGTAATGTAGTTTGTTTGTATAAATAGTAAAAAAAAGATTAAGTCTTTAAAAAAATACAATTAACGTGTGATTTCTTAATTTAAACATAATTGTTTTTTTAATTAAAAAAATGTCAAGTTTTAAATTTTAAATTAATGTGGGATTTCTTAATTAAACTAAAGTTATTTTTTGTGTGTTTGTAAAATTATTATTGTCATGCATGGTTCTGAATTGGTGGTAATTAATGATAAAAAGATAAAGAGTTCAAAGGCATATTTTTATCTGTTAGTTCAACTCAATTGCTACCTGCAGAAACATCCGATTGTATGTACGCATAATTTTCATGGAGAAGAAAATGTTTAGTAATTTCAAACTGAAACATAATGGCAAAAAAAATTAGAAGAATTTGTTTTAGTTAAAAGTGAGAGTTTCATTTTTTTTTTAAATAAAATAAAAATTGAGAAATGAATTATCTAAGAGATTTAGTTCAAATTTAAGGCCTATTATTTAAGGGCAGCGACAATTTCTTCGGCAAGCCATTCGAGAAACTTCGTCATTAAGGATGCAACATCTCAACAAGATTGGACTTTCTTAACATTTTTAAAGACATAAATTATATACTTTTCTAGGCTTATCGCAAAAATTCAACATTGACCATACTAGAACATTTTATTGTTGTGTTCAAGCTAAAGCTATTAGAGTTAGTTTGGTGTGCAAATTGAAAATTTAGACAATTCAGTGTACTGCTAAAGATTTTTAAGAAGTGTTGAGTTTAGATAAATCTGGTTATAAAATTTGCAAGAATATTAATGATTTGGATTATTAAATATGTTTGCTTGTTCGTGTAACCTTATCTCTCCCTCACCAAACGACCATGTTTCATATTTTCTTTTTTAATTCAATTATTTTTATTTTAGTTTTGTTGATAATTCAATAACTGATAATATGCTGAATAAATCAAAAATAAAATTGGGATAAAAAATGGATTCGGCAGTGTTGTATTGGACTGAACTGAAATCCGTTGGACCTTGCTGGTTGAGCCCGTAGCTCTGTTCTTGGCATACTGGATTTTGTGCAACAAATGCTCCTTGGACTTTATCTGGCTGGGCCTTATGCAAAAATACTAGCCTACACTCCCAGTTTCAGGCATATACCCCCTTAAGTCTTGGTGTTGTTTTAGTTTTTTAGTCTTTTTATTTGATTTTTGATTTCATTTCTCTTTTGAATTTCAATAATTGAAAACAATAAAAATGGTAGAACATAATAGAATTTTTCTAGATTTTTTTTTTGATAGAATTTTCCTCACATAAAAAATTAATAAAAATATTATTTTTCTTTTAGTTTTTTATTTATATTTCATACTGTTTTGCCTTGTTATTTTTTATGCGTTTGTTCATTGTGCATGGTATGCTTTGGTACTTTCGATCATGTAACATAACAATTTGTTATAGATCGAAGCATATGGCTTATGCTTGTTGCTGATGTGACATGCCTCATTTCTCATCGTCATGAGAGATTTATATTATATTATATGTTGTCCGGGTGCATGTGATAT